GGGAATGGCTGGCCAAATTGTGACATGTGAATATAATGGAATAGAATCGCACTGGAAGAATTGACAAAAGCCGATGTCAGAGAACCAAGCATAGTGTGACTAGATGCAGAGCAAATCGAGCAGATACAGGACAAGAATTTGTACAAGGTCAGCCACATTGTGAAGAAAAACAATTTTAATATGTTTTATTTAAAATTGTAATTTTAATAAATTAATAAGATTTAATAAGATTTTAATAAAGCAATAAAAATGTAAAAAACAATTTTAATACATTTTATTTAAAATTGTAATTTTAGTAAATTAATAAGATTTTAATAAATCAATAAAAATGTAAAGAAAAACAATTTTAAAAACTTAACTGATCAGTGCAATGACCAGAGCACCTACAATCAAGGATGTTATCTTTCTCCTGACAGAGACAATGGACACAAGGTGCAGAAAGAGACAGGCATTATTGGACATGGCCACTACATTGATTCATTGTGCTTAACTATGCTTATTTGCTATAAGTGGGTTTTTTACTATTTTTTTTTAAAGTGGGGTTTTTTTCTTCCAAAAATGCACAGAAGGAAGTTTCAAAGGAGGAACAGACAAGCAGGAGGTTTTAAAAGTAATATATGGATTTTTTTTTAAAAAAAGCAGTATTATGAAATGAAGATTCACAATTTCATAGAAAACCCTCTTTTGTGTTCTAGATACGGAAATGCTCTTATTTGAAGTTTAAGTTCAAAATAAATATTTTATATAAGAAACAAGAATATTTTGATCACTATATAACTTCGGGACTCATCATTAACAAATGTTAAAAGACACAAGAAAGTGCTCATTACATACTCTGGGATTCTCTAAAGGCTGAGTCATAACCCCACTTGGGGATGTGGCCCGGATGGCCTTAAATTCACATATATATGTCTGGTTCAGTTTCCTAATTTGAAAACCGCTGGTTAGTACAAAATTAGTTACTGAGATGGATCTTTGTGGTGTTTTTTTTTTTTACCTTTTTATATCTAAAGGACGTATTTTTCCCATCTAGAACTAAAAGGAGTGAGACAGACAAGGTGAATGTTTCTTCATTTATACGTGTGTTGCACTTTAAAATGTCTTGACTATTCCAATGAATCTGTGAACTCATCAAGGTAAACGTTTCTTCTAGTAATACAGATAACACTCCGTCCTTGCCCACCTGCCCTCTACAATTCTTTTACCCATCCTCCACTGTGCTTCTGGGGGCCATCTCCACTTGTCCTGATCTATATCTTGCCACTGGACCCAGATGGCTCCAGAGGAGAAAGTGAGGCTGGTGACCTTGCACAGCCCTCCCTCACTTAAATCCAATTCATTTGCAAGTCATGGCATCATCTTCCTGATGTCATGGTCCTCTTCAAGCATGAAAGACAGACAACAACAATAGTTCTTACTCCCTAGCTTGCTAAAGGAATTTCTTTATTGCTCTTATCATCACAATGGGGCCAATGGACCCTCCGATCATCACCTATTACTTTCACCACATATCCCGCCTAAGTTGTGTTTCATTATGTGAGTATGGAGAAATTAGGAGTAATTTTTTTTAAAGCCTGGAAACTTGAAGTTCTTTCTATATTGGTATGTGGTAGTTTTCATTTTCTTAGAATACTTTCTAATTTCAGAGAGCTCAGATACTGTTGCTAGTGAGACCTAGTGTGATTCCTTGCCAATAAAGTGAAACATGAACATGATTTTGCAATCTCAGGGGCCAAAAGATTTGGATTTAACCCAAAATTTGTCTGATCATTCCAGATTTTTAGGGGTTTTTTCCTTCCTGTGTTAACATTTTAATCCAATCAATCCATCTTGAGAAACATCAAAGAAATAGTCTATTCCTTAAAAAACAATCAATTACATAGATTTAATCATTGCAATAACATTACAGAATGATTGTGTCTGTATCCAGAGGTGTGTTTACCTAAGGAAACCCTTCATTTCAGAAGTCACTTTTACAAGAAATAGTGCCATCTAGCAGCCATGTGGCAAACTGCCACCACCCTGAGTAAAAAAATTGACATTTCTTTGAAAATTCATCTCACCGGTGAGTTTATCCTAATCTTTTTAAAACCTTCCTTCATTGCCTTTGCCAACTGCTTAGGAGCCGTCTTTTAAAATATTCTACCCGTTTGAGTTTTGGAAGACATCTCCCAGATGATCTAGTCCAACCTGTACCTGAACAGGAATTTCCACTTCCCCATCGCTGACAAGTGGTCCACCAGCCTTTGTTTGAACCCCTCCTCTCAAGGTAGCCCACTCCACAGTGGGACAGCTCTACATTGTTAGGAAGTTTTCCTGGACATTGAGCCTAAATCTACTCTTTCATTGCTACCAGTTTCTGCCTTCCAGAACCAAGCAGAAAAAAAAAAATCTCATCCTTTCACATGAAAACCCTTCAAATACTTACATCAAGTACTATATTCTACCTAACTCTTCTTCTCCAGACTGCTTCCTTCAATTAATCTTCCTATAGCATTTTCTCCTTGAAATAGAAGCTCATAGAGGTATTTTACACTGGGTCATTCTGTTCATTCATGATCATACAAAAACCCAGAAAACGTTACAGAAACAATGCACCAGCATTTTAAAATGATGTTAATTTGGATTATAAGTTGGTTAAAAGCATGAGATGGGACCAGGGATGATATGCAGGTATTTTTTCCTTTGTTGTTTAGTCATTTTCAGTCATACCTGATTCTTTATGACCCCATTTGGGGTTTTCTTGGCAAAGATGCAGAAGTGGTTTACCGTTTCCTTCTGCAGATTTTTGTCCTAATGGGGCCCTAAAAATAGTTATGGGAAGGGAATAAGCATTTATATAGTACCTACTATGTGCCAGGAATAAGCATTTATATAGTACCTACTATGTGCCAGGAATAAGCATTTATATAGTGCCTACTATGTACCAGGAATAAGCATTTTATATAGTGCCTACTATGTGCCAGGCACTGTATTGAATGCTTTTTTTTAACCAAATATTGTTTTATTATCTCCATTTTATTGTTAAGGAAACTGAGCCAAACAGAGGTCAAGTGACTTGCCCAAGGTCACACAGCTAGTAAGTATCTGAGGCCAGATTTGAATTCAGGTCTTCCTAATTCCAGGCCCAGAGCTCTATCTATTGCTCCACCTACCTAGTTAGGTGGTAAGAGAAGAGTGAGTTAAGAAAATTTTCATCGAGGGTCCAATCATGCCCGAAGTGGTTTAGTGCTCCAGTATGGTGACAGCCCTAGAATGATCCTTTTCTAGGAAGTCTTACAAAAGGATAACAGCATTCTCACTCAGCCTAGTGTACTGGAAAACTCTCTCAAGGCAACCACATACCTCTGTAATGACTTACCAGTAGTGCAAACTTCTCTGCTACTATCTTATTGCAAGGGTCCAGATGAAGTAAACTACAAACTAAACCAGGGATGTGTTTGGAGATGCTTGACCAGGAGTTGTACAGGAATGCCAGGAGAAAGCCATCTGTAAGAGACCCAGTTTGATGGAGAGCTTTTACATATGGGTATGTGGGTGAGGTCCAGAGAATTTAATCATGTTTGTACCACATATTTCATGGGGCTATTGAGAAGGTGTTTCACAAAGGTTAAGGCACTATATGAATGGAGCTAGCATCATTGTGGTTATTTTCTGACTCAGAGACAGATGAGACCAGCCCTTGCACAGGAAGAGGATGCTATGGTACGGGTCCACCATTAGATAATGATTCTCAGTCAGTCAATAACCATTTTAGTAAGAACCTCCTATGTGCCAGGCATTGTGCTAAGTTCTGGGGATATATAGAAAGGCAAAAAACAGCAACAACAATTAAAAAAACCCAATCTCTGCCCTCGAGGAGCTTATAATCTAATGGAAGAGGCAACATGAAGACACCTATGAGCAAACAGGATGTTTCAGGATAAATTGAAGATATTAAATAAAAGGGTGGCACCAGGATTAAGAAGAATTAGGAAAAGCTACTTGTAGAAAGTAGAATTTTAGGTGGTAAGTAAAGGAAGGCAGGGAAACCCAAGGAAATGATAAGGAGCAATAGATTTCCAGGCACTGACAGCCAGTGAGAATACCTGGAGTCAGGAGGAGAAGGGTCTTATCTGAGGAACAGAAGAAAGAAAGTTTTCAGCTATTCTTTCCACAACCAGCCACTGGGAGAGTCAGGGTTAAGAGGGTAGATCACACCAAAAAGCTAAACTGGACTAAACTTATTTATGCAGCTTTTACTGTAAAAACCACTGTACTAATTAAATGGATATCAGGAGAAAGTAAATTGAGGGCTGCAGAGCCCAGACAGATGCAGCTGGAATTTCTTCTGACTGTGTGTACAAGGTGTAAGCAAAACAACTCTTTGAAAAACATTCTGTGGGAAGAACAAATTCTCCAATTTCCATTGGAAGTTTTTGCTGAACAACTTAAATCATTTTGAATAGTGAGAAAGTTTTGCTTCTTCAAAGGGAACAACATTTATCTTTCCCAAACAATCACTTCTTTCTCCTGCTCACCATGGAAACAGAGAAAATCATAGCTTTTATTAGCCTAAGAAAGAAAAGATGGGAAAATCTGACTGGAAAAGTGGACCTTCCCCACCACCATTGTTAACATCATTATAGCATTTATATAGGTCTCAGTTAGCATGAACAATGAATCCTATGAAGTAGGTATGTTACTCCAGTATGGACTGCAGTGCCTACTTCCATTAGCCTGGTACCAACAATTATATTTTACACAATTCTAACTTTGAATGAAAGTTAAGAAGATAAAATTTTTTATCTCTAATAATAATAATGATGATGATAATAATAGTAACTTGTGCTGACAATAATGTGCAGCAAAGGCAGGGAGTGTGTGAAGGATGTTTGGGGAAAAGCAAGCTCAGCAGTAACATTTTTAGGTTTCCAAGATTGATGACACAGCTGGCCCACTGGAGACCCGGGCAGTGGGAGGATCCTCATTAGTGTAAATAAATAGGAGTCTCTGGTCCTGAAAAGAGCCCAGATGAGATTCAGATCCAGATTCAGATTGTGAATCAAGCCTCACTCATTCTCCTCTCCCTTGTCAAGCCAGAATGAAATCCACTGCTGCCTCTGTGGTTGTGGTTCTGCTCATGGTCATCAATTATTCTTCAGTCCAAGGTAAGAACTTTCACTTGTCTTTCTCTGGGTATTCCTTTGGAAAAAAAAAAGTAAAATGGGCTGGGGAAGACGGATTTAGAATCAAATCATTTGCCCTGTTGGAAAGAATATATCCAGTTAAGACTACTTTATTTTATTTTTAATTTATGGAGTAAAACAAGCATTTCCATTACATAGTATCATAAAAAAGATGATTGCACATGAAACTGCAAATTTATTGTGTACAACTTAACAACAGTTAAGACTAAAATGAATCAGATTCTCCTAGGGTTCAGTGCACTTCCCTAAAAGGTAGATATTTCAGGAAGCAGCATAAATTATGAGAGAAATCACTTTGAAGATGAGGGAGAAGAAGGAAGCCAGGCAGGGAAAGAGATCAGAAAATCATCATTTACCAACATGAATCACTGGTATCTCCAAATAGCTTTGGCATTAAGAACTGACATTTTTAAAACATTTATTTTATTTTTTAATTTTTGGAATAGAACAAGTATTTCCATAACTTAATATAATTTAAAAAAAGATAATTGCATATGAAACTCCAAATCTATTATGTACAAATTGCTATTCCTTTTAAATATGTAACAAATCAGTCATTGAATTTTTTAAATTTTATTTTGTTTTTAATTTTTAGAATAAAACAAGCATTTCCATAACATAGTGTAATTTTTAAAAAGGCAATTGCACATGAAGCTGTAAATCTATTATGTACAACTTGCTATTCTTTTTAAATATGTAATAAAATAGTAATTGAAATTTTAAACTGTTGAGTAGAAACTGAGTGTTTGCAGGACATCCTTGATAACAGCTCAGATGGAATGTTTTGAATTACATCCTATGCTTACTCAGGTTTACTTCATCTGATTTCCTCGGGCTCATCTGTTTCATTGCAGATCACATGTAATATTATCAACAAAGAAAAAAGGAACAGGGAAAAAAATAGTCTAGAGCAGGAATGGGGAACCTGCGGCCTCGAGGCCACACGTAGCCCTCTAGGTCCTCAAGTGACGCCCTGTCACTGAATCCAAACTTATAAGTTGGGCTGCACTTGAGGACCTAGAGGGCCACATGTGACCTTGAGGCCACAGGTTCCCCACCCCCGGAAAACTCCACCAAGTTAGGGATATTTCAAAATATCAAGAATTTAAATGTTAAAAACCTCATCGTTGAAGAAGTATATTTTGATAAGAACCTTTCAACTGTAACGCTCATAAATGGAAGCAGCTAGTCCGATGAGTTAACAAAATGTAGTGCCTAGAGGAGTTATTTTTTCTTCTCATTTTTTTTTAAGTGAGTCTTGAAGCAATCTGATTAGGCTTGACTCAGTTATTTTAAAACCAAGAAGAAATGGGGTCAGAAGCAAGAACTGAACATTTCAAACTTTTGAGCTGTCCAGTTTGACATTCAATCCTTTGCCATGTAATTTAGAGCTTGTAATTATCAGAATAAATTGGGTGCTGTTGGTTTTGTTTCTAACGGCCATAGGTATCCTGGAGACCAACGATGCCAACCAGAAGTGCAAGTGTCTCAAGCTGGCAGAAGGAGTCCCTTTACGCTCGATAAAAACCATATTTATTTCACCACCTAACGTAGGCTGCCGAAATACAGAATGCATGTACGTAACAAGGAAATCGACTTCCCTTCTAATTCCATTAAGTAAAATGAGGTTAATCTGAGCTTCTCTGGCATGCCTTCTCTGGAAAAAGTTTTTCCTAGGTTATTTATTTTCTGGTGTCTACCTCAAGGGTTGGAGGTTTCTTTGCTCCTCACTGTTTTCTGATGTAGGAAAGCAAATCCATGTACCTTCCGCCATTTGCTAAATGATCCTCTGCGTTTCCGTCAAGACTCACTCTCTTCTCCTATCCAAAGAAACAGAAAGCAGCACTTTTATTAATGGTGGAGAATCTCACTCAGGGCATCAGAGGCAGTAGTTCTATGGGTCTAAATCAGAGGTCTAAACCAGGGGTCTGGTCCCTTATTTGTCAAAAAATATTTTGATAACTGCATTTCAATATAATTGGTTGCCTTTTTAACCCCATGTATTTTATTTTATGTCTTTAAAAAGGTCATTTTCAGAAGGGGTCCACGAGGCACACACACACAAAAAAACCCAAGTATTTAGAACCCCTGGTCTAATCACTTCTCCATTGCCTCCAAAGGTCTGTTTTAACAAAACACTAATGATTCTGAGTTATATCAGTTTAACACGTTTTCCCTCTGAGAGGCAAAGAATTTAGGGTTAGACACACAGAAGAGTTACACAGGTTGAGAAGGCAGAGATGAATTGTGATCTGTTCTGTGCTTATTACAGTGCTTGGTATATAGTAGGCACCTAGTAAATGCTCATTGATTGATTTGGGGGTGGGGGTAGCACCCCCATCAATGTGATCATAGATTCTGAACACTGAAGAATAATACCATTCTCTACTAAAGTCCCTCAGATACCAAATCATGGCTTAGAGGCGATCCTGGGTTCTCAAAAGTCATGTCAACAGAGCTTTGGTCAATTTGACCAAAATGGGAAGGCTTCAAGTATAGGGTTTGTTTCAGTTTCCTCATCTGTACAGTGAGGGGGCTGGACAACATGACCTTTGACATTTCTAGAATCTCTAAATCTATGACACTATGAAAATGAATGAGTTCAAAATGAACAAGTTGGACTAAGTGGTCTCCAAGGGCCCTTTAAGGCTAATGTTCTATGATTCTATAAACATTGCATACAACCAAAGCAGTGGTCTCCATGTCGCTGAAATAGGCATGACTTCCATGTCTCTGAAAATCTTAATCCTCTTAGCCTCTATCTACCAAGAACCTGCCTTCTCCTCAACTGCCATATTAATAAATGAAAAATATTGGCTTTTTGTATACATACACAGAGAACAATACTATGTTCAATGTCACTAACTGGTGGTACAACAGCTGTCTTATAGAAGTTAGATTTGATGCTGGACAGGTCCTCTGAGCCCATAGCTTTTTCATAAAAACTTCCTAGAATGCATCTTTTTGCTTAATTCTCTCCTGACTATCTGCTATAATTCATACCCCAGAGTATAACACATCACTCAATTTCATCTTGTTTCATCCTCACCAAATTGTCATTTGATAGAGGCATGACACTTAGGATTGAAAAGTAATACTCTGAGAATTTATTTTTTCTTTGTTTTTTTCAGAGTCACATTGAAAACTGGGAGGAAAATATGTGTGGATCCAAAGTGCAAATGGTTAGACAATGTCTTCAAAAATGTAATAAGGTAGGCCAACTGGATATCATTTACTTTTAGACTCAGAACATTGTTCCTTGGGAATTTAAAGATTTTATTTCCCGTGCTGATCCTCTAGAATGAAGGCTGGAAAGTGTATGCTTTGATTCACCAGCTTTTCATGATCAGCTATTCCAATTTACATTCCTCCTGAAGTCAGGAGGACCTGAGTTCAAATCCGGCCTCAGACCAAACACTTGACACATACTAGCTGTGTGACCTTGGGCAAGTCACTTAACCCTGATTGCCTCACTAAAAACAAAAACAAAAACAAAACAAAAAAAAAAACCAAAACAAGCAACCAACCAATTTACATTCTTTTGTGCTTAAAAAGAATCTATTATATCAGTTCATTGAATAAGACTTAGTGGTTTTATGTTCGGCTTCTTTTGTTTCATTTCTAGTGGAAAATGAATTTTTTTAAAAAGTAAATACTATTATTTAGCTGTAGATTTATTTATTAATTAGTATTAATTTATTTGCTCCCTAGAAACAAGCCTACCACACCAAATATGACTGTTGAGAGACAACACCAGAATTCCAAATAAGATCATCTGGGCTTGCCTTCCTTCCTGTTGGAATCCTCATTTTTTTTATTAATTGTTTTTGTTCTGATGAAATGCTTTTTTTAGGTACTTCCTTCCTAGAAACATATAGCCAAAATGATCTTTCTGCAGCAATCCAGCAACACATTAGCTTCTCTCTAAGGATATATACCCAAGTGCTTGATTTACATATCCTTGATCAATATTAGTTAATAAGATTATCAGAAATATTTAAAGGTTCTTTCATATAAAGGTCCCACCCAATTTCAACCAATGTTGGAAGTAAGACGACCACTCAAGAACCGCAATTCTCACACTAAGGCTTTCCTCTAAATGGAAGGGTAACTTGGACATAAGGCACATTGGAGCAGCTGGCATGAGTTAGAAAGGGAAGCAAGGGATCTTTTCTCCACCTGCAGATTTCTGAAATTACTGGGAGAGAAAGCCGCCCAGGAAATTTGCATAATTTCAGTTGGAGTGTCTGAACAAAGTCACATGCAAGTGAACCTTTTAGTCACACCTTAAGCAAAAAGAATTGGGATTTGGTGACCCCAAAGATTCCCTCCATCTTAATAAATTGAAGCAAAAGAAAGCCAAATGATGGTCTGTGTTATGCTGTTGACATTGATAGTATGCCAGTGGCTGTGTGGCAAAGCACACTTGAGGTGAAATCCCACCTTTGATGGTTACTCCCTACGTAACCTTGAATAAGTCACCGAGCTCTCCTGGGCTGTAGATCTCTCATCTCTAAATTGCAAGCAATTGGATGAGATAGCCCCCAAGGTCTTTTCCAAGTCTCCACCTAGCATCCTCCAATGAAACACCCCAGAATCAAACCCAGAGCGATCAGGATTATTTACAGCTAAACTTGTCTTAGAGAATGTGTTACATACCAAGGAGTAGACAATTCTGGACATAAATGTATTTTTCTAAAGTGTACCACTCATGTACTGTTCTTCAATAAACACAAACAGATGTTTAACTTAATTGCGACAAATTCTTTCTTCCTCAGTAGTCATTCAAAGAGTATGGCTATGTTTATGGTGGAAGTTCTATTTCTTCATAGTGAAAATCATGGCTCTGTCACACTGAGTTTTTTAATATCATGTGTTGTTTTTATTCTTCAGATAATCTAAAATTATATGGACATGGTCAAGGGCAGCATTATTTCTAAGATCTTCTTAGTCTTAAAAATTAAACATTTTTCCACTGTCTTGTTAAAGATTAGTATGTCAGTAGGAAGAGTTTATATTGAATATGAGGACAGAGGAAATCATAGTTAAGCACTATAGATTCTTTCCACTGTCTCTTTAATGTCTCATCATTTGAAAAGATTTAAATTTTGGTACATCCCATGAATGAGGGTAACTAGCTTCCATTTTTATAGTTTAATATTTGCTTTGCAAATACCTCATTTTATTTTCAAAACAATTCTGAAAATTAGGCCACATCACTATTGCCATCTTAGAGCTGAGGAAACTGAGGCAGACAGAAGTTAAATGGCCTGCCCAGGGCCACAGAGCTAGTAAGTGTCTAAGGCATGATTTGAACTCAAGGCCTCCAAAAGTCCAGTATTCTACCCATTATATTACTTATCTATGCCAAAGAATGGAATTCAGTGTCTTCAATGGTACCTCACTGCTCCCCAATGAATCTTCTCCTACCTTGATCCTGAGTCACTCCATTCTTCTTCCTCTATCCTACTAGCTTCTTATTTGTTTTCTTCTTCCTTCTTTTACTTATTTTTTTTTTAGTTTTTCCAAAAGAAGATTTACTAAAAAAAAAAAAAATACAATCCAAACTAAAGCATAGAAGCAGCCCCTTGAACTGGGCTCACTTTCTCCTTTTACCTCAGTTCCTGAAAGCACAAACTTAAAATAGTTGGTACTAAACATTTCTCCTACTAAGCATACTTCTAGTACAGCATAGCTGATGCACACGTCATCCCTTTGCTTGTAGGGCACAGTGTCTCATTAGATGGCTCAATTTAGGATGCTTCTCTGCTGGACTTAGTTGAGCAGGTAGAATCTTTTTTTTTTCTTTTTCCCTTCATCTTCAGCTCACCCTGTGCCCTCTATCTATCTATCTATCCATCTATCTATCTATCTATCTATCTATGTACATACATATAATTTTTTCCCTCCAACTACCCTAATACTGACAAAGGTCTCATGAGTTACAAATATCATCTTTCCATGCAAGAATGTAAACAGTTCAACCTTAATAAGTCTCTTGTGATTTCTCTTTCCTGTTTACTTCTTCATGTTCCACTTGAGTCTTGTATTTGAAAGTCAAATTTTCAATTCAGCTCTGGTCTTTTCATCAAGAATGCTTGAAAGTCCTCTATTTCACTGAATGACCATTTTTTCCCCTGAAGGATTATACTCAGTTTTGCTGGGTAGGTGATTCTTGGTTGTAATCCTATCTCCTTTGCCCTCCGGAATATTATATTCCATGCCCTGCTGTCCCTTAACGTAGAAGCTTTTTTTCTTCTTCCTTCAAAAATTCTCCTGATTCTTTCAGTTTTTTTTTCCCCTTTTGGTCTGTTTCTTCTTTCACAACTGTAACTAATATAGAAATATGTTTTACATAATTACACATATATAACCTCTATTAAATTGCCTACCATTTTAGGAAGAGGGGAGGAGAAAGAGGCAGGAAAATTTGCAACTCAAAATCTGGTAAAAATCAAGGGCAGCTAGATGGCACAGTGGATAGAGCACTGGCCCTGGAGTCAGGAGGACCTGCATTCAAATCTGGCCTCAAACACTTGACACTAGCTGTGTGATCCTAGGCAAGTCACTTAACCCCAATTGCTTCACACACAAAAAAAAGAATGCCAAAGATTGTCTTTATGTATAATTAGAAAAAGATAAAATACTATTTAAAAAATAAGCTCACCACCAAGCTGCTAACTCAAAAAAAAATCCTGAAAATGTTAAACAGAAAAACATACACACAAAAGTTGGATATCCTACTTCAATCTGGGTGCTTTACTGTAGTCTTTTTATTTTTATTAAATTTTTTCACATTGAATGTTGTTGATTTTATTGAATTATCCTTTTACGTGAGTGTGTATTGAGGAAGGGAGGTCTTATTTGATTGGAATCTCCTGGAAGAATTTGTGTTTTCTTCGGTAGAGTAACATAGTAGAAAGAGCAATGGATTTGGGACCAATGAACTCAACTTTGAACCCCTATCCTACCACTAACTACCTGTGTGACCTTGAACAAGTCATTTAACTGTTCTGTGGTATATTTTCTTTAAAATGTGGTACATTGCTATAAAATGAAGTGGGGTTGAGAGGGGGAAGGGGAGAGAAGTGAATTAGATCAGCCTTCTCCAAAGTTCTTTAATCACATGTCCTCTTCAGTTAAAAGCATCTCAACCCATGTAAATTTTAAATGTTGTTTAACACTCTATTTATATTTTATTTTTATCTATTTATTATTTATTTAATACTCTATTTATTTTAATACTTTATTCAGTCATAACTGAAAATGATACATCATTCCAAAAAATGTGCCACGATAACTGTGCGTTGTTGTTATTGTTGTTGCACTTTTCATCTTATAGAATGTAGACTAACACATAGGCAGCTAGGTGTTACCGTGGTTAGAGCACTGAGCCTAGACTCAGGAAGACTCCTCTTCCTGAGTTCAAATCCAACCTCAGACACTTACTAGCTGTGTGACATGGAACAAGTCGCTTGACCTTGTTTGCCTCAGTTTCCTCATCTGTAAAACGAGCTAGAGAATGGCAAACCATTCCAGTATCTTTGCCAAGAAAACCCCAAATGGGGTCACAGAGAGTAAACATGACTAAATGACCCAACAGACAACAAAAAGACTAATACATATTACCTTCACAGCTGCAAACTACAATTTTATGTTTTTCCACAATTCTCCCTTTTGTTATTTTCTTGAAAGTGTCCCATAAGAGTACAGTACAGTTCTTTGGAGCCAGTGGGAAATGTGGGACAGAGTGATGGCTATGATCACACAATGATTTGCTTGGCCCTTTCCTTGATCTTGGCTAGCAACCTGTCTATGACCTTATGGAGGTTACAGTTTCCTAACTGGGACTTTGGGCAAGAGAGAAACTGGGGGGGGGAGGGGAAAGTTAAGCATCTTGGGGGTTGGTAAAGGGTATTCATGGGGTGGCATGGTAGACTGGGCACTCTGTGTGCAATGACTGTCCACAGGGAACCATACAATATGGATCAATTACAAGGAGGACAAAAATTCAAGTGAAGGTAAAGAGAAGGCAGAATGTCTCCTTTTTTGTCAGGATGCATCCAGGTCTGGGGTCTTGGGGGAGCTGTCTGCTTCATGAAGTCCTCTCCTTTGGAATGTCTGAGTCAAAGGCATCCATCCTTTACCATCATCTACAAATTGTCCAGTTTAATCTACTTAAAATCAGGGATATGCCTCCTTGAACCCGTAACTTAAATGTCCTTAACGGGGCTGTTTGTTAACAGTACCTGGAATGGGTCTTGTTTCTAGTGCAGATTTGCAAAGGTTTCTGCTGGTAGATCCATTTTCTAGGTTCTAAGTCACTTTAATGCTGCTTCAACCTGCTAGTAATGAGACTTAGTATTATTTAATAGAGACTTACAAAACCTAATGACGTTGGCCTTTTGGTAATCACTTCATGTGGTGAAAGTTTGTTCAGTCCTTAAGGAGTTAACTTTATAAACTTCAGAGTTATAGGAAAAACATCTAATTAAGTGACATCTAGCTCATTTGAAAGTTTAGAGTTTCAGTCTTCACATACCATTTGTTCTTTCTATCTGTATCTGAACCTTGTATGTGATAATACCTAGATAATATCTAGAAGCTAGAGGAAGAATTTTTTTTCTTTTCCTTTTTTTAAATTTTAATTTAAAACTAATTTTAATATAATTTAATTAATTAATTTAAATAAATAAATTTAATTTAATTTAAAACTGTAAGACTATGTATAGAATAAAACAAGCATTTCCACAACATAGTATAATAAAAAGATGATTGCACATGAAACTGCAAATCTATTATGTACAACTTGCTATTCCTTTTAAATATCTAATAAAATTATCATGTAAATTTCTTTTAGAGGAAGAATCCACGGATTCTCATATGAAGGACTCATGAAGAATAAATGGGTCCATAAGAACCTGACTGTGAATATTTGAATGAATGTGAAAGAGATTCAGTAGTTCCCTATTGTTTGCAGGATAAAAATTTAAAATATATCATTTAGAGCCATCAACTTTACTTGACTTCTTCAATTTTTTTCATTCTCACAAAAGCAGAAGTTTTAAGGCTACTAATACAATTACAGCTATCATGAGTCCTTTAAGTACATTCCTTTACCCACTGAAATATTTGAAAACCAATTACATATATCTTAGCTCTCAAATGGAAGCAGTCTAATCTTGCTGTATTTCCCAAAATGAAATTCATTACTCCACTAAAAATTAAAACTTTTACACCTTTATTGCATTGTATCCTTATCCTAACCCCCCTGAGGGTATATATTATCTTCATAATATCCAGAAAGATGTGACACTATATGTACCTAATCTTATGAATATATAACTATTAACCCAATGAGCAAGGAGATACCAAATCTAAGAAACAAGTTTCCTCAATCACCCAGATTAAGAAGTTAATAATTACTGGTCACAAATTCAGAGCAGTAAAACCAAACCAGGAGACTCCATTATAGCAGTTGATAGGTACTTGATGATTATAATAATAAGATTCATTTTAAAACATTTGCAGTTCTTCTGCCGTAGTCAGAGAAATTTGCTGTGAAAAAAAGGAAAGATACAGCCGTAGTAATAACAGGACTGTTCACTCGGGCCCGAGACTAAAGTCATAGATTGATTTATCATAGGCATTCCTTGGAAAAACTCTCTTAGCTCTGTTTGATTTTAGGTAAAAATCATAGATATTTTTGGGGATAGCCAATCATGTAACAGAGTTACACATTATTCCTAGGTA